GTGGTGTCACTTATACTCTCCAAAAGATAATGAATGTTATAATGTTCATTTTCACAAGCCCGTTTGATCTTTTATCATATTCTACGGTATCATGTATGGTATGTATATCTCTTACTTGCTCATATTCTATGGCATTATATATGGTATGTATATCTTTTACCTGAGACTGCCAGTATTTACTTCACCTCAATTAAGAATGGAGTTTCAAGTGGGATGTAATAATTAACACTATCTTATCAATCATCTAAATTGTCCTTCCTCAGCCCCCTTCATAATTAATCCCCTCCCCTTACTTTTACATTTATTACCTTATATAGGCCCTACGAAAGTTTTGCCGTGCAAACCACAACTACAATGTAAGCAATTTAATTATTTGTGGCACTGGGCCGTATATCTTTAGACTGTACTTACTAATATTACAGCAATAAAAATATTATCTGCTTGCTGTACTGTGTACGTACGGACCTACATGTAGCAGACCCTGCACGATAACTAGTAACAGCACTTGAACCTGATAATGATGATATCCTATTTAGGCCACATCCAAGAAATCAAACCACCATCCAAACAAACCATCAACGGGCTAGCTGTCCATCCTTCCCTTACCCCTTGATAAAACCATCTTACCGGGCCAAGATCAGTCGGTATTTCTGTTGGACAGCTTGCATAAATCACGGTACCCATTCATTCTAATGCCAACACTCCACCCAAATTCGACACCAGGGGCGCCACTTGTATGTCTGTGTAGGTAGAGTGTTGAAGATGTGTTGTACTTTACAGGGTTGCATGTTCAATCAAATCCAGTGGCGTATTTAAAGGGGGGGGGGGGGGGTTCAGGGGGGTCATGTCCCCCTATCGATTTCTGAAAAAAATCACACCAATGGTCCCCTCTTGAAATTAGAATTTTGACTAGCTGAATCATACTTCTAAACAGTACCAAATGGCACTCTTCGTCTATAAAATACTAAAAACAATTCGGGGCACTTCACCGGGCCCTCCACCAAGGGTGGGATGTGTGTGTGTGTGTGTGTGTGTGGGGGGGGGGTCCGTTCTGCATCCGCGGACCCCCCTTCAAATAATCCTGGATCCGCCCCTGAAATCTTCAGTCCACATATGGCATGAGGCCCAGGTTGTCGGCTATTTTATGCGTTATCTTCAATGTAAAAATGATTCTAAGTTACATTTTCTGAACTATTTATACGATTTAAACAACTTGACATTTGGAAACGAATAACTTTCATTTACTTTCACGAACATAGGCCAATGTATTCCAGGAACCTTTCAATGTATCCAACAATCTGTCAGACATCTCCTAGAACAGCCTGAGCACGACTTTCCGAACAAAATGTCCTAGTCATACCGTGTTTCTTACGCATAAAAAAATGTTGCAAAAGCATTTTGACAAGCAAATAAAATAGGAAAATAATCTTCCCTGTAAAGTGCATAAATCTATTGACTCTGTTAGTTTAATCACGGAACTAGAAACGATTTCATTATTACCCAAATAAGAAATGACGCACCTCAAAAAGCACTACTGACAACCCAATGTTTTTTTAATCATTATAAACGAAGCTTCAAACAAAAACAATGCCCTGAATAATGCACATTAGCTTACCTTGTGCTTATACGTCCGGTACGATGACTTGAATGATCTGTCTCTTAGTTAGACAAGTCATCTACATAGAGATTGGTTAGACGAAGAATTGCTCACGTTTGTCATTACTGGTAAAACCGATCTACAAGACAAGATTCAGGGAACTGATAACAAGAGCTACCGGTAAGACTCTTCTGGCGAAACAATCTGGCGAAGATTACTGAAACTAAACAACAATTATGATAATTTGCCGCATCTGATAACACCCCTGAGCGTGAGAACTACATGTTTATATCTTTGTACAGAAAAGACTAAGCCAGGCTAAGGCCCCCTTTACACTGGACGGCGTCCTTTCTGCGTCCAGCAGTATGGATCCATTTGAGAGTTAAAAAATTATAATACTTTACGTGCCGACAACTGGCCGATCATTGAGCATTCATTCTGATACAAAATCAATGCTCATGTCTGCTTATTAAGACCACAGCGATGCCAAATGTCATGGTCGCAGAAAGGACGCCGTCCAGTGTAAAGGGGGTATAAGGAGAGGCCACTTGCCTAGCGCCAAATCCTCAATTCAGCTTCGCAAAATGCCTTTTTTTCCTTTTTTCAATTCAAACACGATCGTTTTTTAGTTGGCCGGAGTTTCAGACCCAATGAGGATCAACCTTTAAATATCAAAATGTCCGATAATCACACGTGCATATGTGAAGGGTTGGAAATGAAGGAGACGGCACGCATTGATATTGGGACTTTATTTCTATCCCAAAGAAACAGGATGTAAGACCAACAAGATGCCCCTCTTTGTAATTTTATTATATTTCTTCACTTGTATCCTATTTCATGTTCCTGATTACAGTATCCAGGGTGGTAGCAAAATGGCGACAAGGCCTCTCTCGTCAAATGGTATAAAATATGGATAATATCTTAACCTATATTTTGCATTTTCTGTACCATTAATAATGTTTGATGTGGTATCTGGAATAAAAAACACTGTTTGTAACAAGTCACACCTGTGTGGTGATCATTTGTAAATGAAAGCACATGGAAATGGTGGGAGGTCAACCTTTTCGACCAATGGTGTACCGGTAGTTTTCATATTCGTTAAACCTCAGTGTGATAGAACATGCTTGGGATATGATAAGTACTGCTGTGAAAGATAGGCAACAAAACCTCCAAAATGTCAAAATGTATTTTAAAACATTTAAAAGATGAAAAACAAAGCGCACAGACCCATTGCCATATCAAGTAACGACCATGATGCTTGGTTTGAAGAAAGCACCAGTGTACAGTACCTAGAGCACCACACCTTTCGCCCCTTTATTATCACTAATAGTTACGACATACCAGTATGTTTATACACATACCCAATAGGTTTCAAAAGCTCAATGTACTCCTTTAATCGATTAATTTGTCTCCAGTGGGGACATTTCACCATGGAGAAATAGGCACATGGGCCATATTAAAGACCAATTACCCTGTTTATATAACGTTCACCTAAAACACGCGTCGTTACATAAACTGTGCTAACATCGCAACTTACATGTAGCATAAAAGCAAGTGATGATCACGGTATTTAGAGGAGAGTGGATCAAAATACTGGCAGACTAGCGATTGTGGTGCGACAACGAACTAAAGCCGACAAATTTATTTACGGAAATATTCCTGGTTGTTTTCTCTTAGGTTTTGTCGAATTGCAATCTATTGCACTAAAGTACCATTTCTACAAGATTTGCGTGTCAATTTTATATTGCTTTCTAAAGTCTCTGCCACACATGATAGAGTTTCCCCCATCATCTCATTGTTCATCCGCACGATTTCTAGTCTTGTATGGTGTCACGCAGTGCAGAAAATCTCGTTTTAAGCTATCAATTAGTTTAGCTGATATGCTGTTCAAATATTTTTGTACAGAAAGTTTTCACTGAATCTTTAATAATAAGTGGTGACTGGGGTTTTATTCCCATTGAAACTATCAGTCTACGTAGATTGATTAAACTATGCGGGGACTCTCGCTGAATGTAATCAGTTTAACATACGTTACATAGTATTAACCATGACTCAAAGCCCCTTGAGTTACAGTTTAACCATTTATAAATAATCCTTACGTTATGTATAATTTACCATGTCTGAATCACTGTAAAATATATCAGTAGTGGGGTCGGCCATATTTGATCCGCGGATCAGTTAGTCCGAGGATCAGCTGTTGTGCACGCAACCTTATTACGTCATTGCATAAAAGTATACTTATTTATAATTATACTTCTACTGTACATTTTCATCTACACCTGTAGATGTTTATCTATAATCAATAAATCATTTAACCCCACCTACGCCACGTATGCTTCCTGTATAACAGGTAAAAGACAGAGCTATGTTTTAGTGGATGATAGATTGATGTGCAGGGGCATATACAAGTCTACAACTGGTGGGATGGTATGTAGTCCTAGGGCTGATAGGGTGCGTATGTGCAGATTTAACGAAAGTCAGCAATTCTAATAACTGGTTTATTATATATTCTGATAAACATTACGAACCAAATATGGTAGCACTGAAAGGTGTAAACAAAATCAGAACACCATATAAGGTTTGGATCAATTTCCTAAAATGGACCACCGCTCATGGTCTCCCGCATGTTGTGCGTTCTCACTCCTCCTACCGGAAGGTATTTTGGCTGTTAAGCGCAATCATGTGCCTTGTAGGACTGATCTTCCAACTGGAGAAGATAGCCGTACAGTTTCTGACCAACCCGTACGCTGTGAGTACCTATATGGAATATGCTGTTGAATTACAGTACCCTGCTGTCACACTTTGTAACTTAAATCCAGTACGGACTTCTGTTCTACGACAGGAAGCAAAAACTGGCGGCCGGCTAGGCAATCTTTTGGCCCAACTATATGGCAAGTGTGAAAACGCAACAGAACCGAAAGAGATTCTGGCAAACGAGTTGATGTGGTCTTGGCTACAGTTTGACGACAGTGCCAAGGCTCGTCTTGGACACCGCATAGAAGATATGCTGTTAGGGTGCACTTTGCATGGACAGACGTGTGCACCAGAGTAAGGATTGTTTTTATTACCTATTTGTAAGCGATGGGCTCGGATATAAGTCTAAATTATTTCAAAAATACAGTATTTTCAAGACTTTCCCTGACCAGTGCGTCACGGTAATTGCGCTTTATTCTACACAAACTACAAAACAAAACAAAACAATTTTTAAAAGAAGAAGTTAATTATCAGTATTATAGCTCACTAGGTTAACAATATGGTTCCAATGTATACAGCCATGTCATTTACGTTTAGTAACACTTTACGCACACTCGATGTATTTTTATCGATAGATGTATTTCACAACTCATCAGTCATTATTAGTGTTAGCCATGTTTAAAAGTCACTATCTTGTAATGTTTCTAGGCTCTCTTGTCTGTCCAGTCACAGTTAATATATTATTAATAATTAGAAGGCTGCCGTTAGTGATATAAACACAGGTTGATTCAAAAGCACTACTGTCCAGCTAAAGTTGTGAAAATTAATCCCATGCTAAAAGATTTCAAAAAGGTAATCGATCGAAATAAATGTCTGGGTAATGTAGCAGGGAATGATAGTGGAGTATATCTAACACAAACAGTCCTGTACGTGCATGTATATATTGTCCATTAACTGTTTCTATCAGTGCTTTTAACTTAGTCCTGCTGTGTTTGTCATTTCTTTACAAAAATTGTTCCATTAGTCTGCTTAAATAGGTGCCTTATGCACATATGCAGATATTGAAACAATTGTCACTCGGTACTTTGAGGTGGGGATTGTCGTGTATTCAGTGGTTTGCGGAGATTGTTTACCTTTATGATGAAGTGTGTTTTAGGTTAAACACCTGACAAAGTATTTAATCTTTCTAAAACCATGCAAAGTGGTCGCTTGTCTGGATTAAGTTCATTAAGTTTGTTTTAAGAGAAAATCCAATCAATAAAAAGAGTGCAATGAGTGGCAAAAACTAATTAAACAAGTATGCTTAGAACCAACAGACAAACAAATAATAAAATATGCACCAATGTTAACATTTGACTGTTTTAAGAAACCAATGAAAGTGTTTGCTTGAAAAAGCATGGTCTTTGATTTTTGTTTTATATTTTAGGAATTTTACACTTTTGTTCAACTCTAAATATGGCAATTGCTACACGATCAAGCCTCTTGCGTCACAAATCCACAAGCCTGGCCATTCACACGGTAATGTAATACCATTCTTATTAGTAATATGATTACTTCGACTTATTTGGATAATCCAGTGAATCACTTCAATAAAACTGAGTACTCACTGGAACATTTGCAAACAAATCGGGCAAATAACATGTACTGGTACCAACGTACTTATAGATTGTCTTTTTCTCCTCTAATTTTAGTTCAATGGAATGGATATTTAAGTACATTAATTGACAGAACTCAGTGGTCTAAAGTGTAACGAACTAAACTATGCCATCTAATATAAACCAATGCCGAGGATATATAAGACATTAAGTAAACAGATGTACAATAGATGCAGCTACTTTTCAAAGAGAAACACGATTTTGATAAGTGCATAAAAGTACTTTCGTTAACTCAGACGAGCAATCACAAAAGCAGGATAAAAACGCAACGGAAACAATTCTTTATTCAAAAGATATAACTTATGCCTCAGAGAAGCCATGTACATGTGCCAAATTTAATAGCTCTATTCATCGTTCAATATGTTTGATGGTTTTCGACATTACGAGACAATACTATATGGTATTCAATTACAGATACATGTAGGCCTATCTGACTTGTACATTTCCCATAAAACTTAAATATGGCCCTATGTAAATTGTAGGTTTGACAGTAGAGCTCAATATCCAACAAGAGGAGTACTTGCCGGTGATCGCGGAGGCAGGAGTCCGAGTGGTGATAACGGACCACAAAAGTGTGCCATTTCCAGAGGATAATGGTTTAAGTGTGTCTCCGGGATTCTATTCAGCCGTTGGAATGTCCATGGTAGTATACTAGTATAAAAGTATTTATTGCCTATTGATATCCAAGACTCTGTTCAGTCATTGTACACTCAGACGCCCGACAAACGCGCGCGCGCGCACGCACGCACACACACACACACACACACACACAAAAATACTAGCACATTTCCTCACACTCATTTCCTTCACTTCCTAAATTCATATATATATATATATATATATATATATATATATATATATATATATATATATACTTTTTCGCCTTCCAGGTTGAAATCAGTAGGTTGGGCCCGCCATACAAGAGTAACTGTACCAATGGTTTTCCAACCTTATACACAGGATACACGACGGCAGGATCTGGGTATAACTACACCGTTCACGTATGTGGGTTTACCAAGTGCTGAGATAATCTTAATTAAAAACAGTGATAGCTATTAGTGCGTTAGATTTCGGCAGGCAACTATGTTGCTTTCCAGTGGCGGATTTAGAGGGGGGTCAGGGGGTTTCTGACCCCCCCCCCTTCGGTTTCTGGAAAATATGTCACACCAATATTCCCCTCTTGAAATTAAAAATTTTTAATAGCTAAATCATAGTTCTAAACTGTAATAAAGGGTACTGTTTGTTCTCCTAATCACCAAAAATTTTTCGGGGCCTTTGAGCAGGCTCCGAACCCCACCCACACCAAGGGGGCGATGGTCAGCTTTGCATCCGATGCCTGTCGTTCCGCCCCCCCCCCCAAAAAAAAAA